TAGTCACACACCTGCAGGAAACACAGGAAAACCCAACCCTTTAAAAAAAGAAAAAATTGCCCAGCACAAGGCAGTGTGGGTGGGTGTGTGTGCTAAGAATTACTGGCACCCCAGCACTTCTGCAAAAGTACATAGTATCTCTGAGGGTTGGGAATGCACGCAATTGCGCACACGTTCCCGAACACCACTAGCGTAAATCTAGCCTTAACTGCAGCAAATACAATTCAGGTCTCCTACTTTGCCAGATAGGGTTGTGTGTCAGAGCTGTGCAAATCTCAGGACTGGATCGACAAATATAAGTCCTTTGGCAGCTCCCATATAGGAGTTTCATCTTTGTTTAGCCATTAGCCCGACATAAAGCGTTAAATTCCTCAAAGCGCACGACAAACAGCCTATCCATTTACCAAGAACCACAGCCATGGCAAAGGTCAAAGACCTGCAAGTCTACCCAAAATCCTTGTAGAAGGGGCCAGGCCTTGAGACTCAACACTGCTAGTACTTATGGATTACATAAATTGTATATTGGTTCTGCACAGAAAATGGTTGCATTTATTTGACAGGAACAATTAACTGCTTGTCCTAATCTGGAGGGAAGTTCAGTAGATGTTTATCACATGGGCTGAGGAAACCGGCTCCTTCTAGATTATATAAAAGAGAAGAAAGCAGGAACAAGGGGAAAAAAGATCACTAGATGGCATGAAGATAAAATGGTTGTGGTTAGAACGGAACTGCTAAACAAGACTACATTTTGCCTTTGCTCGGCTGCAAGTTCTTTGCTTGTATTTGACTTGCAACTGCAGTAAATGTGTCCGAAAAGCTACAACCTTTATATGAATTTAAGATTTGATTTAAGAAAGTTGGAAGCAGGATATATTTAAAAATTGTGCAAATATTTTGAAACTACTTGTTTTTGCACAGCATTCAGTTTTATACATGTTCACCAGTAGCAGAAAGAGGTCTTATGGCCAGCTACTGGTATTTTAAGGCTGAAATTCAGGCAACCAGATAAACATGAGAATATATATTATCAGTATTACCCATCTAATAATGAATTCTCGTTAATAATTTTATGATCCAGTCTCCCCTGCCCGTTAGCCGAATTGTTGGCCCTGCAGAATTAGCATAGCTTGTTTGTAGCCCAACTTTTGAGGGCAGTTTTAAATCCTATGTTCTTTTCAATAGTTAAGGGACAATGAGCTGACCTTTTGGTGGGGCCACCTTGAGGTCCTTAGTTCCTACAGAACAGATTGCATAGTCCATGTAACTGTTTGCACTTCACCAAGTTCCTTGGCCATTAGGGAATATAAAAACTTATCACGACCAAAAAGGTCCACACTGTCATTGGCTATATATGTACACAACACACCTTCATGGCTAACAATGGAAAAAAGCAAAAAAAAAAAAAAAAAAAAAAAAAAAAAAAAAAAAAAAAACCAGACACAATGGGGTTTATTTACTAAAGCTGGAGAGTCCAAAATCAGACTCCCTTCTGCATGGAAACCAATCAGCTTCTAACCGCAGCTTGTTCAATGAAGCTTTGGCAATGAAACCTGGAAGCTGATTGGTTTCTATGCAGAAGGGAGTCTGATTTTGGACTCTCCAGCTTTAGTAAATAAACCCCAATGTGTTTGTCCAGTCACATCCAGTTGGTTGTGGTGGGGGAAAGGAATACCATACTCGTGTCAAGACTACTGGGCCATGAAATTTAAAAGCAGGAGCCATTTCCGCAAGTAGGAGATGGTGCCACCATTTTAATTAAACAGGTTAATCAGTCAGCTAGTAAGGCGCTAAGGATAAGAAATGTGCCCAAGAATAAACTACAAGAATAAACTACAGAGGGAAAAAATGTCCTTTACTTAGAGGTCAAGCAAAAGGAACACTATAGGTTATTTTTAAACCAGTTCTGATTTCAAGCTGGTGGATAGAGTAGATAAAGACTCTTTTCTATTTGAGTCCTTGAGGAATAAAAGGTTAGTAATTTCTAAGGGAAAAATGTATTCCCTCTTTAAATTGTTATATGCATAATAACCCACTAAAGGTCTTGTCAACTAATCAACGATCACATCTGGAGTATGCACAAGGGTATTGAACAGGTACCAAAGGGTATGTTACACACAATAACAAAGAGATAAAGCAACCTGAGCAACACAAGTAGTAAGCACTGCAGTAGCTTTGTTTCCAAAAAGTTGGCAAAATGTTTACATTCCATACTTTGAATTCATCACAGAGTCCTTGTCAAAGACCCACCATACAGTTTTAGGGTCGGCTACTCTTTTATATCCCCTTTCTTTGGGGTTAGCCATCTTAAATTTTAACTGCAATGCCCCTGTGATTGAAATCTGTTACCACTGGTCATTTATTTACCTAATTAAAAGGAAACTACTTTTTATGGTGAAAAAAGTAGACTGCAGTCTATGGTTTTGCTTTATGCTGACCAAAGATAAGCAAAAATGTTCTCCTTGACTTTTCTATGTAGAAGTTTGAGGATTCTTATGGGTGTCCCCAAGTGCAAACCAATGATAAGCAGATATCATCCCCAAAAACGTGAAGAGAGTACCAAAAACTGGTTCATCTTGACTTTATGTAGGTTGAAGCACTTAAGGGGCCTTCTTATGGGATTTTTACCAGTGCAGACCAAAGATAAGCACATATCACCCCCAAGTACATGAAGAGAAAACCAAACACCATTCTCTTTGACTTTTTATGTAGAAGGTTGAATAACTTAGGGGGCTTCTTATGGGATTTTCCCCCAGTGCAGACCAAATATAAGCAGATAACACCCTCAAGAACGTGAAGAGAATACCAAAAAATGATCTCGCTCTCTTCTATGTAGAAGGTTGAAGAACTTAAAAAGGGGCTTCTAATGGGTTTCACCTACTGAAGACCAAATATAAGCAGATAGCACCCCCTAAAACTTGGAGATTACCAGAAAAGATCTCCTTGACTTTCCCAAAAAGAATGTTGAAGCACATAGGGGACTTTTTATGGGTGTCCCCCAGTGCATCAAAACGTACATTTATTAGACCAGGTCACCCAAAAAAAAAAAAAAAAAAAAAAGAAGGAGGAGAGGCACAGGAGGTAGGTACACCACCCTGATAAAGATTTGAGGGCTTTCAGCCTAAAGCGGGGAACCCTTTTAAGAACCCAACTCACAAGTGATCCATGACCTTATAAAAGCTATAAAAACAAAAACAGTTCTCCTTGACTTTTCTATGCATGTCCCCCAGTGCATCAAAACTGCCCTCACTTGCATTTATCAGGACAGGTCAGCCTTTCAAGAAAGGTGCAAGAGATAGGCACACCGTCCTGATTACAGAGATTTGAGGGCTTTTAGCTTAAAAGTGGAGAACCCTTTTTAAAAACGCAACTCCATGTCCATATAAAAACTATAAAAACAAAAAAAATTAATCATTACTGCGTAGTGCTAGTGACTCTTCAAATGCTTCTTGGGTGTGCCAGTCAAAATAACACACACCCCTCTCATTTATTCTGATCCTATAAATTACTAGCACTCGGCTGAGTCAGGCACTCTGGGGAGTCTCTACGGGATCAACAACTATATCATCAAAATGTTGTGAGCTAGCTACATGCAGCGTAAACCAGAAGGACTGCCATTAAAAGTATTTGAAAACTGGGTGTATGCAGTGTTGTAAACAGCATCACAGGTAATTAAATGGGGATAAGCGAAACATTTTGACAGAGTCACCAGTGGCAGCCAACCACAGCACTGCGCTCATGGCTTAGTAAGTGATGTCATTAGATGGGTCACCCTTAGTAATGCTGGAATGAGGTTTTATGGAGAGGAGTTATTAATAATTACTTTAAAAATAAAAAATGAAAACTTGGCTACAAATTACAGGGAGACAACCAAACAGGAAATAAAAAGGTTCTTAAACCAAACCAATAAAAAAAACTATTTAAAGTATCTAAACCCAAGAACGAAAATGTAATATATTGCTGCCTATAATATGCAAAAATAAGTGCTGCGCCAATCCAGAAAAAAAAAAAAAAAAAAAAAAAAAAAAACCTCTTCTATATTGCAGCTCACCAGTCTTTACATGTGGTGGCTGCATTAGTTTACCTTTATTAGGCTTTATTTTCACCTTGTGATCCTGCCAGTAACACTCTTCCTGCCCTATATTATAGCGAAAGCTGGCGCCTGAAAGGATCTTAAAAACAAAATTGTAGCTTTATCAATATACTGGGTAAAACATGAAAATAGCCCACTCTTCCTAGGGTGACACCACTGAACCCTATTGAATAGCAGCGTTGTCACCCTAGGACAGGAATTGTTGGGACCACAGAATACCTCCCCCTCTCCATATCATAGGATTAGCTGTTCTGTATTCCTATGAGAACTGAACCATGGAACTGATAATAGTACAGCACAGATTATCCACGCACTTGATTTCTGGCAGGATCAACAGTTTTTTGCACTTACTGAAAAGACCTTTCAATTGGATATTAAACAGATCAAAAGGGATCAAATAAATGAAGTTCATGTAACCAGACTTAAACATCACCCCCTATGCTTCAGTTCCTTTAAAAGAGTAACTGCCAACAGTTTTAAAATGCAGAGGGACAAATCCTATATCAGACAACAGTAGCCTGCTAACTGCGGCACAAGAACAACAACTCCCAGCAGGCCCTGGATTTCTCATCATCCTTAAAGGGAAGCTAATTAATTACAATCCACTTTCCAAGAAAATAAAACTATGTGACATTACTAATGGATGTTTCAGATGCACAGTAATAAAAAAAAAAAAAAGGGGGTTGCTTCCCTCTAAGCAGCATAGGAATTCATTAAAAAGAAATGCAGGATTAAAAAAACTTGAAGCAATCATCTTTGTAGCTTCCACAGCACCACCTAGTGTACAAACAGGGCACTGCAAGAGAAGGTTGCGTAAAGTGAACAAATCCTCCTGTATTGGGAGGCACCGAGGATGAAGAGAATTAAACCCCAAAAGTTGGTTAAGGGGTTCCTTCAGGTGTTCCCTTACCAGAAATAGCATGCAAGTCTGAGAACGTCCTCCGGCTAAAAATCTCATACTGGAAGCCAGTAATTTTTCGGCTAATGTCCAACTGTGGTGTGGCCTCAATGAACAACACTTGGTCCTGGGCAAAGCAATAGACCTTATTAGGAAGGTGTTCCTCGTCCCGAACCAACATCTTGAGTTCTCCAGTTTTTTCCAAATAAATATTAGATCCTTTGGAGTCTTTTAAAGGTTTTATGCAAACAGTCAAGTGCTCAGAAGCAGACAAGGTATTGGGGAGAAGGTTGACTATGAGAGCTCCAGTTGGGTACAACCATTCGACCGATCCTTCCGAACAACGGAGGTACACCTGCTCGACTTCCTTCTTGTGCAGTTCATGGGTCAGCCCACTAAAAACGAAGGGGAAGAAAGCATAGCTGTTAATTTTGATGTCTGGGACCTCTATTTAAAAGTATAGGAAATGTTTTTGGTCTGTATGGTATAGTCTGTCTTGGCATAGTCTGGTCTGGATGGCATGGTCTAGATGGCATTTTCTGTCCTTGGTATGGCAGAGATGACATGGTCTAAATGGCGTGGTCTGTCCTTGGTATGGTCTAAATGGCGTGGTCTGTCCTTGGTATGGTCTAAATGGCGTGGTCTGTCCTTGGCAGGGGCGGACTGACCGTTTGTACACTCGGGCACTGCTCGAGGGCCCGGGGTCAGTAGGGGGCACCATGAGATGCCCCGGTACCTTTTTCATAGGCTTTTTTGAGTTTGGGCAAGGACACAGGGGCCCCATGATCCCCTTATTGCCTGGGGGCCCCATGAGTTTGTCAGTCCGCCCCTGGTCCTTGGTATGGTCTGGTCTAAATGGCGTGGTCTGTCCTTGGCATGGCATGGTCTGGTCTAGATGGCGTGGTCTGTCCTTGGTATGGTCTAAACGGTGTGGTCTGTCCTTGGCAGGGGCGGACTGACCATTTGTAAACTTGGGCACTGCTCAAGGGCCCGGGGTCAGTAGGGGGCCCCATGAGATGCCCCTGGTACCTTTTTCATAGGCTTTTTTGAGTTTGGGCAAGGACACGTGGGCCCCATGATCCCTTTTTGCCCGGGGGCCTCAGGAGTTGTCAGTCCGCCCCTGGTATGGTATGGTCTAAATGGCGTGGTCTGTTCTTGGCATGGCATGGTCTGGTCTAGATGGCGTGGTCTGTCCTTGGCATGGTCTGGTCTAGATGGCGTGGTCTGTCCTAGGCATGGTCTGGTCTAGATGGCGTGGTCTGTCCTTGGCATGGTCTGGTCTAGATGGCGTGGTCTGTCCTTGGCATGGCATGGTCTAAATGGCGTAGTCTGGTCTAGATGGCATGGTCTGGACTGTATGGTCTGTCCTTTATTTATACAAATTATTACATTTCATAAATTTGGAAGCCGAAAGGATTCCACCCAACATAGCCCACAGTTGTAGTTCAATTGAGTAAATAATGATGGTTACATATTTGTTGCAAAATTATTATGGTTATTTTTTGTTTCTGAAGTTAACATGAAGCGCTATAACATTGGGAAGACAGTGATAACAATGCAACCATATACAATGGTGCATGTTGAGAGGACCCTGGTTGCTGGGCCTTGCAATCATGTGATAAAGAAGTTTGCTTTTGCAGGTCATAGTCAAGCAAGCATATCAAATGGCTGGTTTAGTCTTTTCAAAACAGACCCTTCATTGTACGAGAAGTACTGTGTGCGGAGGTACGTTTCAGCCACAGTCTGGCTATACTTTTCTTTGGAACTCCAACAGTCAAGTCAGCTGAGACTTGTAGTCTCTTAAGAGTCCCAGGGAGCAGAAAACTGTAAAAACAAACGATTAAATCTTTGCATTTTGGTTGCCCTCTTTACCCAGCATTGCCATGAGGAACGACAGAAGGGGGGACTGATGTCACTGGCTGGATATTTTATCTTCTCTACAAACATTGCTTTGCATAAACCAGAAAGATTGCCTACACTGCTGGGATAGATTAGACCAGATCATACATAATAAAACAGATTACAGATCTCCGGAGACCTGTCTCGACTAGTTCCCTTGTTCTAAAGGAGTTAAGCAAAGTTTAAAACAGCGAAACTGAAAACGGCTCGACTGGCCAGGGGGGCACTAGAGATGCAAAAATCAAGAGCCCCTTTATTGAGAACATACAATACTGAATAGGTTGCAATACATGATTTTTTTTTTATGCAATAAAGCCATCAAGACACATTTGACTCAACTCAAGATTGACGGCATTTGCAAGGGAAAGTCAAATCTCCGAACTCAAAGAATGTAGGGGGATGACGTGAACCTGAAGTCACAGGAGGTATTCTCAAAGGCTGAGAACAGTTTGTGGTTGTACATATAATACATGTTAACAGAACAACGCTGACCACCTGATGGTCCTTAGGCCATCTACCCTTCTACGTGCCCCTAAAGTCAAACTGTATATAAATGTTTAGCTTTAATATACATGCAACCTTTCAAAAAAAAAAAGAAAACAAATTGGGGGGAGGGGGGGGGGGGGGGGGGAGAGTAGCAAAGAAAAGTTACTCCTTTAATGTGAAGGTCAAGCATGACGGCTCCTTAGCTCCACAGTCCTGCCTCCTCTAGTTACATACTGCTCCTTAACATTGACATAACTAGTTACATAGCGCTCCGCAGCCCTGCCTCCTCTAGCTACATAGCGCTCCTCAGCCCTGCCTCCTCTAGCTACATAGCGCTCCACAGCGCTGCCTCCTCTAGCTACATAGCGCTCCACAGCGCTGCCTCCTCTAGCTACATAGCGCTCCTCAGCCCTGCCTCCTCTAGCTACATAGCGCTCCTCAGCCCTGCCTCCTCTAGCTACATAGCGCTCCTCAGCCCTGCCTCCCTCCTCTAGCTACATACTGCTCCTTAACATTGACATAACTAGCTACATAGCGCTCCACAGCGCTGCCTCCTCTAGCTACATAGCGCTCCACAGCGCTGCCTCCTCTAGCTACATAGCGCTCCACAGCGCTGCCTCCTCTAGCTACATAGCGCTCCACAGCGCTGCCTCCTCTAGCTACATAGCGCTCCACAGCGCTGCCTCCTCTAGCTACATAGCGCTCCACAGCACGCTGCCTCCTCTAGCTACATAGCGCTCCACAGCGCTGCCTCCTCTAGCTACATAGCGCTCCACAGCGCTGCCTCCTCTAGCTACATAGCGCTCCACAGCGCTGCCTCCTCTAGCTACATACTGCTCCACAGCGCTGCCTCCTCTAGCTACATACTGCTCCACAGCGCTGCCTCGTCTAGCTACATACTGCTCCACAGCGCTGCCTCGTCTAGCTACATACTGCTCCACAGCGCTGCCTCCTCTAGCTACATACTGCTCCACAGCGCTGCCTCGTCTAGCTACATACTGCTCCACAGCGCTGCCTCGTCTAGCTACATACTGCTCCACAGCGCTGCCTCGTCTAGCTACATACTGCTCCACAGCACTGCCTCCTCTAGCTACATACTGCTCCACAGCACTGCCTCGTCTAGCTACATACTGCTCCACAGCACTGCCTCGTCTAGCTACATACTGCTCCACAGCACTGACTTGTTTTGCTACATATTAAGTGTGTCACTCACGTAAGTGACAAAGTTCTGAGTAACTTCCATTAGTAAATGCCACCCACAGCTACACACAGGAAATTAGAACCATATACCTGTGAGTAGTGGTTGCCTCGCTGGGTGCCAGTGGTCTCATGATGGCCTCTTACATGTCCACCATGACATAAGTGGCTCCTTGTGCCGTAGCATTGCTGTGGCTTATTAAGGAATGGACAGAACTGATACTTTTACAATATCACTTACAAGTACACTTTACATCCTGCTGCTTCCTAGCTAAGAACCCGTTTTCTAGCAGTTGGCAGTTAGCACAAATAAGTCTCTGTGAGCCAGTGACCACCTGATGATCAGGCTTCAACTACTCTCACTGGGATGGTGCAGAGTGGACTTTGAGTTGGAAAAAGCAGAGTCAACCTTTGACTTCAAACAGCTGTAGAATATAAAACTGAAGGAGGGGAAGCAAAAAAAAAAAAAAAAAAAATGTAATGACTACTGTCTATTGCAGACCAGTCAGTCAGTCTAGTGCCGACAGGCAACTTGCGACTTGTAACCTTCACGGTAGTAATTGCGAAGGCGTTCCGTAGGACGCAGGCAGTGCTGGAGAAAAGAGTATTCCTATGGTAGGGTCACAGCTCCTTTGACAGTACGAGCTTCTATATGGGAATGAAAGTTTGGGTTAGGTGAACTGAATCTGTAACGAAGAGCAAACCCCAATTCACTCAACATCTATGGGGGGGGGTGGGGTGGATTTTTAAATTCCTACAATTCTGACGATCTATGGAGCAACCTTGGGGGTAGGGGTATAGGCTGGCTTTTAGAATCCTAAAATTCTCAATATTTATGGAGCAACGTTTGATCTGGAGGGGGAGTAATATTGCTAGGATTTTAGAATCGTAGGATTCTGAAGATCTATGGAGCAGAGTGCTGTCTGGGAATGGGTGGGGGTATGTTTAGGGGTTTAGAACACTCAAATCTTCGAGATCTCTAAATCACTCAAGATCTATAGAGTTAGAGGCTACCTTGGTGGGGTAAGGCTAGGATCCTCAAGATCTATAAAGCAACATACTACCTGGGGTGAATGGCTAGGATTTTAGAACCCTAAAGTCCACAAGATCTATGAATTCTTCAAGATCTATGGAGTAAGATGCTACCACGGTGGGGTAAGGCTAGGATTTTGGAATCCTAAAATTCTCAAGATCTAGCAAGCAAGATAGTACCCGAGTGAGCCCTAAAATCTTCAAGATCCAAATATAAATGACTCATGTATGGAGTTAAATGCTATCTTGGTGGAGAATGGCTAGGATTCTCAAGATCTATGGAGCAGGATACTACCTGGAGGAAGGGGTTTATAGATAGGATTTTAGAGTCTTAAAAGTTCTACAAGCTTCTCAAGATCTATGGAGCAGGATACTACCTGGAGGAAGGGGTTTATAGATAGGATTTTAGAGTCTTAAAAGTTCTACAAGCTTCTCAAGATCTATGGATCAACATACTAGCAGGGAAGGTGGGAGGGGTCGGACTTTAGAAATCATTGGTTATGTGGTGCTCATCCTCTGTAGTTTGGAAAGTCAAGTTGTGGCTATGGAACTACAAGCCCCAGCATGTCCCCAACACCCAGCAACCTATACTGAACCCTTGATCTGCTAATAAGAATACTTTGTAGCCATAAAAATTGTTTCAATAACTAAGTAACCTCAAAAAGTCTTCATAATCCTTCCAAATTACAAAAAGCACCCAACAAATGTCCACCTTACACTGATTGTCCCTTTAAGATTCGTTTTTAATGAAGACTGTCCTGGAATTCACTTCCAAAGCCAAGACTTTGCTGTACATGGAAAGCATAAGTAGTTGGGGGGGATAATATGAAGGTGACAACACTGCCACCCCTGCAGATGTCACCAGGGGATGGGGGAGGGTAGTAACAAATGGTCTCTTACCTTCCTTTCCAATTGCACATATCGCTGTTGTAGTGCGCTGAGCTCCCTCTGCACATCGCAGTCACCATGAAGACACTCAGCAGGATCCTCCTGAGCATGATTGCAGCCAGAGGACACCGACAGCCAGAGGGGGCTCAGCAAAGGGGCACCAAGGCGATCATCCAAAGGCAGTGCCAGGGAGAGAAGGGCATGGCCCGGGGAAGGAGAGCCGACTTAGCCAGGAGCTCCGAGACTTCCTCTCCCCATCACTGGGACGGGCGGACCTCAGCCAACAGCAGCAGATCAACGATGCAGACACCTCCAGAGCCTGTACACTGTGCACTGCCTGCCTGCAGACTGAGCGCACAGCACACACCGGGGCGGGACACACCCACAGGGGCGTGCTAAGGAAGGGGGCGGGCTTACAAAGTTCCGCTTCTACCACGCCCTACTCCCCTTCACTGACAACTTTCTGCACTCTGATACAAGTTTTTACCAACTACATCCAGAGGGAGATCTGCACTCAGCTATTCACTACGAAGTCACCAGACTTCTACTCACCTACGTGCCTGTGGGGTGCCAGAGGTCCTATATATTTATTATATATTCTCTATCTATATAGACATCGATCTATGTATATATAAAATAAATATACAAAAAAGGTAAAAAAAATATACAATAAAAAAAAAAATTATATATATATTTTTTTTTTTTTTTTTTCTTTTAAATATATGTATTTGTAATTTTTTTCAGTTTTGTTTTTATATATATATATATATATATATATATATAAACTTCCACCTGGCAGTACTCGGGTCATTGGTTCAAATCCCAGCCATGGCACCACCTGCCTGGAGTTTGCATGTTCTCCCGATGCCTGCGTGGGTTTCCTCCGGGTACTCTGGTTTCCTGCCACACTCCAAAGACATGCTCGGAGGTGAATTGGCTCCTGTCTAAATTGGCCCCTAGTATGTGTATGTTTGAATGTGAGTTAGGGACCTTAGATTGTACTTGAGGGTTAGGAACTTATGTGAATGTACAATATATACGTAAAGTGTTGCGTAAATTGACGGTGATATATAAGTACCTGAAATAAATAAATACATTAATTTTAAAAAAAATAACACACACACACACACACATATATAGATAGATAGATAGATAGATAGATAGATAGATAAAAAATAAATATAAAATTTTTATTTAAAATCTCTCTCTCTCACATTTTTACAAATACATATAATATTATATAAATAAATACACTGCTCCAAAAAATTAAAGGAACACTTTTTAATCCTAGTCTAGCATCAAGTCAATGAAATTCCTGGGATATGGATCTGGTCAGGTAAGTAGCAGAGGGGGTTGTTGATCGGTTTCAGCTGCTTTGATGTTCATGAAATTAACAACAGGTGGACTAGATGGGCAACAATGAGATGACTCCCAAAACAGGAATGGTTTTACAGGTGGAGGTCACTGACATTTTTTTCCTTACTCATCTTTTCAGTTTTTCACTAGTTTTGGACCTGGCTAGGGTCAGTGTCACTACTGGTAGCATGAGGCCATACCTGGACCCTACAGAGATTGCACAGGCAGTCCAACTCCTCCAGGATGGCAATCAATACGTGCCATTGCCAGAAGGTTTACTGTGTCTCCCAGCACAGTCTCAAGAGCATGGAGGAGATTCCAGGAGACAGGCAGTGACTCTAGGAGAGCTGGACAGGATCGTAGAAGGTCCTTAACCCATCAGCAGGACCGGTATCTGCTCCTTTGTGCAAGGAGGAACAGGGTGAGCCCTGTCAGAGCCCTACAGAATGACCTCCAGCAGGCCACTGGTGTGAATGTCTCTGACCAAATAATCAGAAACAGACTTCATGAGGGTGGCCTGAGGGCCCGACTTCCTCTAGTGGGCCCTGTGCTCACTGCCCGGCACCATAGAGCTCGATTGGCATTTGCCATTGAACACCAGAATTGGCAGGTCCACCACTGGCACCCTGTGCTTTTCTCAGATGAGAGCAGGTTCCCCCTGAGTACATGTGACAGACGTGAAAGGGTCTGGAGAAGCCGTGGAGAACGTTCTGCTGCCTGTAACATGGTTCAGCATGACCATTTTGGCGGTGGGTCAGTGATGGTCTGGGGAGGCATATCCATGGAGGGACGCACAGACCTCTACAGGCTAGACAATGGCACCCTGACTACCCATTAGGTATCGGGATGAAATCTTTGGACCCATTGTCAGAACCTATGCTGGTGCAGTGGGTCCTGGGTTCCTCCTGGTGCGGTGTGTCCTGGGTTGCTCCTGGTGCAGTGGGTCCTGGGTTCCTCCTGGTGCACGACAATCCCCGGCCTCATGTGGGGAGAGTATGCAGGCAGTTCCTGGAGGATGAAGGAATTGATACCATTGAATGGCCCCCACATTCGCCTGACCTAAACCCAATAGAACCCCTCTGGGATGTCATGTTTCGGTCCATCCGACGCTCCCAGGTTGCACCTCAGACTGGACAGGAGCTCAGTGATGCCCTGGTCCAGATCTGGGAGGAAATCCCCCAGGACACCATCCGTGGTCTATTAGGAGCCTCCCCCGGCGTTGTCAGGCATGCATACAAGCATGTGGGGGCCACACAGGCCACCGAGAACCATTCTGAGTTGCTGCAATGACATTTCAGCACAATGGACTCGCCTGCTGCATCATTTTTTCACTTTGATTTTTGGGGTGTCTTTGAATTCAGTCCTCTGTAGGAGATATAAAATTAAAATAATATATATATATATATATATATATATATAGACATATATTTGTTATATATATTTATACACACTTACTTTACCCTAGTATGGGGGGGGGGTGACATCACACTCCCAGCAGGATCCAAGAGAATTTATGGAAAATAAAGTGTCATTATAGCTGTATTTAAGCGTTGTCTAAGTTCTTTTTTTTTGTCTTTGTTGGAACTTTTTAGAAGGTCATTGAGGCCCTGATAGCTTATCTGAACACATCAGGGCATTTCTCAGTAAACAGACTTGTTGGTGTTTATTCAGGTGAAGTCAGTGAACGCACCATTGATTGCAGTGTGGAGGATGGAGGGGGGGAGGGGAGCAGGGATTATATTGTATGGGATAGGGAGGGGGGATGTTGCACAGAAGGTGAGCACATGCAGTCAGTAGGAATGAGTGGAGGGAGTTCTAAAAAAAGTGATTTAGCTGCAGTTAATTCAGTTTTATTCATTAATATGTTTTTTTGTTTTTTAGTGGGGAGGTAAATTGGGGTAGTGTTTTTTTTTCCGGCATTCAGGGCCGTTTTAAATGTCATTATCATGGTAACATGCGCATGCATTAGGCGTTGCAATGCAAATCATTTGGAACTGCACCCCAATGCACTAAGTCAACACATCTGTGTTCCAGTGCGCCAATACTTGGAAGTGTATTGTGGGACCAAAAATGGGTCAGGGACTATTTTTAGCTTTTCAGTGTGTTTTTCAGCATTTCAGTGGGTTGTCTTTAAAGCCTAACTACAGCTTTACTTTTACTTCAAATAATTAAAAATTGTATCAAATTCTTACTGAAATTTTCCTTTCCTACCACCAGTCTATTGCCGCATACATGTGGTGGTAGGCTGCTATGCTGGCGCCAGGAAAGTTTGTTTGGACCAAGCAGGGCCATACTAAAGCAGGGTATACACTAGTAGAATTTCAAATGAAAATCCATGCAGAAATTCTTAGGAATATTTGTAAAGAGTTTTCAGAACATTTGAATGCCGTTCAAAAGTAGTTCAAGATTTTGTTTGCTTTTAACATTCAATTTCGATGATTGGATGAAGTGGAGAGGCGGGGCGGTAATATCATGATCTCAGCTTCATCTAGTCAGAGAATGCCTTTTATTTTCTCAATGAATGCAAGGCATTCTCTGATTGAACAAAGTGGAGAGGCCGGGAGGTAAAGTCACAACCTCCTCTTTGTCCAGTCAGAGCATGCCTTGTATTTTTCAATGAAAGCAAGGCATTCTCTGATTGGACAAAGTCAAGAGGTGGGGAGGTAACATCACAATCTCATCTTTGTCCAGTCAGAGAATGCCTTATATTTTCTCAATGAATGCAAGGTGTCCTCTGATTGGACAAAGTAGAGAGGCGCAGAGGTAACCTCATAATCTCCTCTTTGTCCAACCATAGAATGCCTTGTATTTTCCCAATGCATACAAGGTGTTCTCTGATTGGATGCAGTTGAGCAGCATTTTTACTGTGGCAGCAGACAGGGGTGTACACCTACCATGACCACAAAGCTTTGCTTCACAGCTGCAGTAGGAATTATACCCTCTGTCTCTTTTAGCGAGCAAAATGTCCTCCAGACGCGACCCATTTAACCACTTCCCATCTGGCCCATGTATATAAACGGCCGGACAGTGGCAGTGCAGGGGCGGGTTGCTGTTCATAATCGGCACCCGCCATTTTAGCCTGTGCGCCCTCCTTGTGATCTGGTGCCCGCTGTGTCCGGAGAACATCGATCGCTGTACGGGACTTCTGTGTGAGGTCCCGATCATGTGATCACTGATTGGCCAATCAGTGATCACATGAATAGTAATAAGCAAGATGTCACTTCTGACATCATTGCTTACTATGTGTGAAATCTGTGAATGATCACAGAGATCACATGATACAGGGCTATTCACAACAGCCTTGTACCATGTGACAAGCTGTGACCAATCGCAGCTCACACAGTATTTCTCAATGGCTACAAGAATGCAGCCAGAGAGAAGGAGAAATTATTGCTTTTACAGCCTTATGGTGTAAAAGCAATCAGTGTAAAAAAAAAAAAAATCTTCATCACCCCCCACAAGTAGTACAGTGTCACCATGGTGACACCACACTGCTAGGGTGACAGTATGTTTAAAAAGATAAAACCCATAAATAATAATATAAAAAAAAAGTAAAAATTTGTTTGAAAAATTATAATTTTTGGTTTGAAAAATTATTTATTTTTTTTTTACTATAAAGATAGCTGAATACATTTTGGCCAAGATTTATGAAGAAAGATTATTTATTTGCAAAATTATATAAGAAAAACACTTTTTTTTCAAAATTTTTGGACTTTTTCATTTATATAGCAAAACAAAATAAAAAATCCCAGTG